GCCTCCCTGCTCTGCCTCGGGAATGAAGCGAGCAGCGGCAATTAGGCGGCTGCAAAGCTGCGCCTATGCAGAGAGGTGCTCACAGAACACGCACACTCCACTCAGCTCCAGAGGGGCATTTTATTTACCAGGAGCATCACAGAGCATAGCCAGAGGCAGCTGGAGAGCCACGGATCCACACACAATGCACGAGCAGAGACACATGTCTGGAGACAGGCGATTTAATCCGGTTTTTCCTCGATTTACTCGGCCGGTTTCAACCTTATTTCAACGCAGTTGTACAAACCTTCCTCTGACAGCAAGGTTTGAACCTGATACCTCCAGGATCTCAGCCTGGTTTAGTTGGGCTAAAGAACAAATCTGCTGCACGTAGCTCTGGCTGGCTCTTTCCTGGGAGGAAAGGCAAGATCCATTTTGCAAGTGCATTACTCTGTGATAAAAAAGATATTTGCCCCAAGGAGCTGCTCCTCACATGCTGGGCCTCTGGAAACTCAAGCTTCAGTGATTAATATTAGCTTTGCCTGGGTGGCTTGGAGCATGTTTACTGTTATATTGACTTAAAATGCACTTGAATGGCAATTCAGAAAAGTGTGTTATTACGCCAAGTGAGTAAATTCAAGACATGCCCATATTTCACAGGTAGTGGCTGAAGGCATCCCATAACCATGAATGAGGGTGTCATCAGTTCTCCCATTAGTCAAGCTAATCTATCAGAGGATAGTTGTTTCTTTTTCCCCCAGAAAATACTCCAGAACCAATTTCTCAATAAAAAAAAGATCTTTCTGCACCAACGTTCCACGATGAAAAATCCTCTATTGCCCAGAAATTCCCTTTTTTCTGCCTGCAGCAAGAACATTTCTGTGCTTGGTTTAACATTTTAATAGTCTTTGCCAAGTGCCAGGAGGGTATTCAGCGCTGTACAAGCTGTACTGCCTGCACCAGGACCTTCAAAAAGAGCAGTTCACACAAGGGGCAAAGCAGTAAATGTGCTCTGAATTATTGGGGGCTGGAACACAGGCGAGCTGACACCGTGTGCTGGGGAGCACGGATTACCAGGAGGTCTCTCTGACTCTGTGCCTTGCCCACCTGTCCTGTTCCCTCCTCTCACCCCAGCATTTTCCTCCTGCAGCAGGAAAGCACAGGACATTTTGCTGGGGTGGGTCAGTGCACGAGGGAGGGTTTGAGGAGGGGTCTCACCACGCTGAGATCAGCAGGGTCTGCTGGGGACAACCTGCAGCCCCTCTGCACATCAGCCTCTGCCTCCTGCCCTGGTTCCACTGGGCAGCAAAGCTTCGTACAAATGGATCATTAAGGCAAAAAAAAACCCCAACTTGTTTGGTTGTTTAAAGAAAGCTGCAGCACAGAAGAGCTGAAGGTAGAAATCAAACCCAAAGGCTTTGTCCTGGATGTGCTTTGATCCCAGGATAAATTCCTTCCTGTAGCCAGGCACCATCCTTTAAACCAACATCACCAGATACTGGTTCCAGAATCATGGAATCCCAGACTGGTTTGGGTGGGAAGGAGCTTGAAGATCATCCAGTGCCACCCCTGCCATGGCAGGGACACCTTCCACTGTCCCTGGGTGCTCCAAACTCTGTCCAACCTGGCCTGGGACACTGCCAGGGATCCAGAGGCAGCCACAGTTGCTCTGGGCAGTGCCAGGGCCTGCCCACCCTCACAGGGAGGAATTCCTGCCCAATATCCCATCTAAACCTACTCTCTTTAGTAACTCTCTTCAGCCCTGCAGGATCATTTCAGGATGAGTAGAGCTTCCCTGTTCTCCCATAGGATCTCCTGGGACGGGCTGGCAGCCTCTGTCCCAGCCAGGCTCTGTGAAGCAGGGGGAGCAGGACCCAGCTCAGGGGGGCTCAGAGCAGGCTGTGGGGAACCCCAGAAGCTCCTGAGCTGGGAGGGACCCAGCAGGACCACTGAAGCCCAGTTCCTGGGCCTGCACAGCACCCTGTGTCCCAAAGAGCCTGGAGCCTGCTGCAGCTCCACTCCCCGGGCAGAGGGGATGGCAAGAGGGGACAGATCACTGTCCCCACGGTCCTGTGGGGTCCTGACTCCCCTGCTCCACAGCCAAGGACTTTGCCCTTCAGTACAGCTGCACCACAAACCCTCTCAGCTACACCCGAGAGCTCTCACTGCCCCTCCAGGGCACAGAAAGGATGAGCCCACCCTCTGAAGGGCCATCACCTGTGGTAAATGCTGTCCCCACAGCACGGGTGACACTGCCAGCATCCCTGCCTGGCAGGGAAGAGAGCGATCAGATGGAGGCAGCTCCGGGGGAGGACTGGAGACAGGCACAACAAAGGGATGCTGCAGCTCGCTCCCTCTCGGGCCAGCCAGGAGATCAGCTCTATTCCTGGCACTGCAGGGAGAGCTCCCCCTCACAGCCCCCTGGCAGCGGCACCAAAACCTTCCCCAGCCAAACTCCTCATTTTTCTGACAGGTTTGGCTGCGGGCGAGGCAGCAGCCTGCAATGCTCCTCTGTTGGGTGTGCACAGAGAAATGCTGCAGCTCGGCTGCTCTTGTTGGCTGTGAGGAGGAGATTCAGCTGTTACATAACCACGGAGTAGAGGTGCATCCACTCCATCCACAGCAGCCCTTTCAGCCACTCAGTCCAGAATGGTTGAAAAAACATTAAATCGCCGCACAAGAACTTACTGTTACATAAACTATACAGTAATATTTTTATATTCACAGGTTTTTTCCACTCTTGGATGCAGTTCAAGAAGGCTGATGATACCTGGCTCCACACATTCCCTGAAGATACTGCTCCCCATCCACACATGAACCAGCAGAAAAGACCAAACTGAACCAGCAGAAAAGACCAAGCTGCCCCTGTGCTGAGCTGTGCAGGAGCAGCCTGGCTCCAGCTTTGGCAGTGCTTCCTTCAACCTGAACTCCAGCAGGACACTCCACAAGCCAAGCTGGTCCAGCCAGCAGTTAATAGATTTATCCAGGAGGCAACAAACTGCCCGAGAAGCCGGAGACTCCACATGAAGATGACAAATAAGGCCAGTTTGACTCCATCAAATTTGGCGTTTGGCTGCTGGGGCGGTGCTGCCCGCATGGGGACACTCCAGCAGGAGCCAGGGCTCCTCTGCCCTGCTCCTGACACAGCACCTGCCTGGTGCCATCTGCTCACCTCCACACAGCCCCACCTGCCCCTGCCTGCCTTTGTGAGGATGGCTTTGCTGGGTCTGAACACGGGACCGCAGCCAGCCCAGAGCAAATCTGCTCCATGTGAGACTTCAGGATAAAATGGACAAAGCATCAATGCAGATAATTAGATAAACATCCAGACACTGATGGGGAAGGCGTCGTACCTCTGTGACTGTGTTAGTAAACACTTGATGCAAACAGATTTTTCCCCCTTGCTGGAGCAGCTTTACAGCCAGGAACTGAGAAATATTGGTACATGTCAGGCCCAAACTGTGTCCTCTGCGCTGTCTAGACATAAAAATGGGCCCAGTCGTGCAGAGCAGAGACAACAGCCCTGGCTGCTCGTGCAGCCAGCCCAGCTCGCCTGGGGCACTGGGGCTGGTGCTCAAACCACAGCTCAGAGCACACAGACATTCCCCCTGCTAAAGGCAGATGATGATGATGTGATCCTGACATGAACATGAGGTCCTGGACAGGCTGCACAAACAAATGCAGATCTGTCATATCAGGGTGGACAGAACAAGAGCAGTGTGGAGTATTTCTGCTGCAGAGTCAGGAAAATGTTAATTTTAGTGCAAGGTAAAGAATCCCAAATTGATGCAGTAAGTTTGCAAGCTGTTTGCTCTATTTGCAATAGCTGCACAGGATGTGTGTGTAAGGACACAACCAGCCATGGTAAGAGGTCTCCTGAACAGGCAGGTATAAAACAAACTCATTTAAAGAGGAGAATTAAGTTATAGACAAAGTAGGGTGTGGGAGGAGGTGGATTTGCCTGGAGCTATCAGCAAAACCGTGCTGGAAGCATCACTGCAAATCAACGACTGGCAGAATCCTGGTGTCCTGTGCCCTGGGGGTGCCAGCTGCATCCCAGCATGGGATCCTGGCAGAGAGGGGCAGGAGAAAGGAAGGGAAGGTGACTCAGAAAGCCTGGGACAGGGATTGATGGGCAGCTGTGCTGCACAGTGTGCTCAGAAGAGGAGGAGAGTTTGTGAAAACTCATGGTGTAAAAAACACTGAAATCCACTGGATTTACAGATCATTACCTACAGGAACCTCAGAAGAAGGCCTCTATGAAAATGTTGGAATATACAAACAACTTTGAGCAGGTTACCAATAATTCTAAAAGCTTTGAGATTTGGGGTTTTGCTCCTCAGCACGTGAGCCTGGGCTCCAAGTGCCCCTGCCAATGTCTTCTGAAGTGACAGCAGGAGATCTCTGGGGTGAGCAGCTGTGAGAACAGGTGTAGGGAAAATTCCCCACTTTGCAAACAGAGCTGCCCCTTTGCTCCTGGAGCAGAATTCCTGCTCCTGACTCATCCCTGGCACACCAGAGTCCCTCCCTGGCTCAACAACCTGACCAGGAACAACTCAGGCAATTCTCAGGGAAGGTAGAACACACACATGAAAGTGCATCAAGATCCCTTACTGATGAACAGAAATCCATGCAATCCATGAGATTCCCTCCATTTCTCAAACACCAACCAGTTCCTGCCACCCCAGTGGCTTCAGTAGGCTCTTTACTGCTTTTTGTTAGTTTGGTTTTGTTTCATACAGGACAGGAGTCTTGTGTTTTTGAAAAAGGAACTTTCACAGGAACTTTATCCCAGCTGTCCCCCCGTGCAGCCATCCCATTCCACATCAACAGGTGAGGCAGAACTTGACCCAAAACTTCACCATGCAACATGTGGAAAGGAAAGAACCCTCCCAGAGGGGTGCCAGAACCAGCCCCTGGGTCTAACACGGGGCTCCCAAACATTTACCTCCCCTGCAGGGGATGGATGTCCCTCCTGCCTTCCACGAGCACCCTCCAGCAGACGGGAGCAGGGGCCGTACCTGGCTCGGAGATAATCAGGCTCTGGTCAGAAGGCAGCAGGAGGAACTCCCTGCAGGTGTCCAGGTCCAAGCTGGGCAGGCTTTTCTTCTGGCACAGCTCGGTGAGGATGCTGATGGCCCTGCGACAGCGGCCATCCTCCCTGGGACCGCTCATCGCCCCGTCCGCATCCTCGGCTCCCTCTGCTCTCTAGGAAACTCTCACCAGGAGGAGAGGCTGGGCTCGGGGCTCAGCACAGGAGCAGCTTCACTCCAGTTCCATCCTCTGGCGTGGCAGCACCTGCTGGGACACGCGGAGCCGCTGCTCGGAGCCGGAGCCCGCAGCCCCCGGTGCCTCATCGCCTCTGAGATCACAGCTCTGTTTACTGCCAAGGCTGCTCCAGACAAAGAACCTCCTACCAAACTCAGTTTCGTGCCCTCCACACGAGACGCATTAAAGCTGCAGCCCAGATAATTCCTTTTAACCCTTTCGCTGCTGCCCTCTCTCCAGGTGCGGAGTTCATCGTCCCAGCCCTGGATTTTGCAAATAAAATGAGTGGTGAGACCTCCTGGCTGAGGACAGCACATCAGCAGAGAGGAGGTACCGAAGTGCTCCCACAAACACTGCACAAACTACTCACAACTGCCAAAGGCAGCAGAAGAAAAGCTGCGGGTTTTATTGATTTGTTTGTGCTGTCCTAACACACCAGGCTGCAGGTGGCAATAGAGATTGAGAACGCCATTCTAGTCCATAATTAGATTTTTTTCCCTTTTACTTTCTGCAGTATTTTTTTATTCCTGTTGCAATTTAGCAGGCAGGTCATGCCACATGACAGAGCATATATTTGACAGGCAATTGTGGAGCAGGCAATTAAAATTATGTACAGCAGGATGACTTCTTGCAGCTTGTACAAACCTAATGAGCATTGTGGAGAGCCAGGGCTGAGGCTGCACAGGTCCCTCAGCCCCACAGCACAGCAGGGCATGCTCAGATCGTGTTTGTGTTTTTGTTAATGACCTGCTGGAGCACTGGGAGCTGTCACAGAAGAGTGTCCCAGGGGTGGAAGCAGCACCCAGGACAGCAGAGGCTGCCCTGGGCACAGAACCTGCTCCACACCCATTCCCAGGCTGGACAATTCCTCTAGCTCTTGGGCTGGTGTGACACAAAGGGTCTGGGTGGCACTTGAGAAGTACAAAGGCATTACCCAACACCCCTGGAAAGCTGCATCAGGGCCCTTTTGGCCACCCTGGTCCCTCCTTGGGCAGACCAAGGCTTTTTGGACACCTCACCAGCACATCCCTGCTGTCCGCACATGGCACCTGTGTCTGGCAGAGCCAAGCTCTGCTCCTCCCAAAAACTTCTGTTGCCAGGACAACATGAGTGAAGCCTTTTATTAACCCAGTAACTGGTCACAAAGAGAGGCTTTTAATTAGACATCCCCTGGCCTGGGAGTGCTCCATGAGCTGCTGCTGTGGACAGGCTGAGGCAGAAGTGCGCCCTGAGAACTCTTCCTGAAGGTGTTTGTCACCTGGCACCTGCAGCCAGCACCAGCAGCCCCAAAGGTCTGTGTTTACTGGGGAGAGATTCAGACACTGGGAGTTAAACCAGAAACTTCCCAGAGATGAAGCTCAGGTAGAGTTTGCTTTACATTTACATAACAAACTCCCTGAAGCCTCTCACCCACTTATTTTTTAAGAAACTTGAGGCTCAGATGATGTCTCAAACCTGAGATTTGGGTCCACACAACATCTGCTTGGCTGGGGAGGGAGGAACTCCTCATTTCTGCTCCTCCTTTCACTGCCTGCCCTGGGGCATTTGTGTCCCAGAGTCCCAAAACCAAAGGATTTGTACCCAAGGGGATGCAATGAGCCCCAGGCATCACGTCATGTCTCCAGCACAGCAACAGTTTCTGCCTGAGCCACCAAAACTGGCACCAAGAAAGGAGTTCCTGGAATATATCAGTCAAGTCTTGCATTTGGAATTTGAATTTATCTTAAAGAGATTTCAACAGACAAAAAAACACCACAGCAAAACTCTTTGAAAAAGGTTAATGCCCAATTGAGAGCTTGTAACACAGAAATCAATAATAAAATTCAATTATTTGGGGGAAAAAAGGGTAATTTTATTACAAGGGTAATACCAAGAACTTTTAAATTTAAAGTCACCTTGGGTCAAATATTCACCTTGATTTGCATATCAGAGGATTCCAGGCTCGCTGGATACCAATAACAGAAGATCCTGCATCCATACTCTCAACAAATATTCCTTCAGAACAAAAACCAGACTTTTTTTACACCTTGTACCTTTGAATTTATGTCACACACGCTCTTTATTGTCCAGCACAGGGAAAGAGCCAGGTGACATCTGAAAATGCAAACGCTGCTTTTCCCAAGCAGGAGCTCTGGTTCCTAATTCTCCTCTCTCACCCCCACACACACCCAGCAGTTGGGGCACAGATTTTCCCTCTCATGTCCTGATGAGAAGCTCCCACTTTGCCCCAGGAGCAGCCCTGGAGAAGTCAGATCCCATCCCCAAACCCTGCAGCTCCCTCCATCCCTCAGGGCAGCTCCTGAGCTGGCCAGAAATTCCTTTTTCCAGCTGCCTCAGACTGAGCTGGCACTTGGAGACCAAACTGCTCCCCAAGCTGTGTTTCCACCTCCCAGCATGAGAAGGAGAGACAATTCCCCAAATCCCAGAGAGCTGGCAGAGCTGAATCTCTGCAGGGGCTCAGTGGTGGTGTCTCATCCACACCCCCCTGGCATTTTGGGTTTCCTGTTTCTGGCAGAGCTTTCCCTGCAGCTGCCTGCCCTTGGCATGTAGGGAAGTGTGGATGCCTCTCCCCTACAGGGCAGCATTTATGTCCCCCCTGCTCCTGTCCAGGGCCCTGGTGTCACACTTGGAGAGGCAGAGGCAACAGTTAAACACAGCAGCAGCTGCCCCAGAAGGGCTGGCAGTGGAGTAAACCTTGGGAGGAAGTGGCTCAACAGACTCGACAAAGAAATGAGCTGCAGGCAACACAGCAGCTCTTGAATTACCTCTGCAACAACCCCTGAGGACAGGAGCACAAAATGAATGAAAACTGCAAGGAAAGAGGGAAAACTGCAAGGAAAGAGGGAAAACTGCAGCTTGTGGCAGCTCGAGGCTGCTCAGTGAGCAAGGCAGGGAGTGGGAAATTCCTAAAATCTGAGAGGCACGAAAGAGCATCATTTTTCCTGCAGTAAAGCAGAAGCCAAGCACCAGAGACAGCATTACACAAACATTTGAGGAACTGGGAGGTTTCATAGCATGCTGCAATTGGATTAATGAGGGTGTTGTGCTCCAGACATTTCCACTGGAGGGAATTTATTTCAGGGCTGGAGCAACCTGGGCTAGGGGGATGTGTCCCTGCCCATGGCAGAGGATGGAAGGGGAAGAGCTCTGAGATCCCTTCCAACCCAAACCATTCCATGATTCCATGAATGTGCCACTAAGTTGGAATCCCAGATATATTTGTCCAGCTGAGACAGAACATGATGTTCATTTAATCCACATTAGGATCTATTTGAAGCTGATATTTTTATTTCTTAATAATAACCAAGTCTGGAGAGGGAGCAGCAGCATTTATTTGTGCCAGCTCTGTCTAATAGCATGGCATTGTTTACTTTCCCAGTTAATATAATAATTGGAAACAGCTCACAAAGGATCCAGAGCTTCTTGCCAGGAAAAATGACGTGGATCTGGATCCTTTGGCAACAGCGCCGAGTCATCTGTGGATAAACACAATATTTGGGCATTGCTGTGCCCCTCCACACACTTCTGAGGGTGCTGGAGTGTGTGAACAGAGAGAAACCCAAAATCTTCACCTCATTCCTGCCTGCACAGAGAAGGAGAGCACCTTATCCTGTGGAGACAGTGAGGTAGATTTAGTTGGAGTCCAATACAATTAGTTTAAAAACAATTACTTTGTGCTAAGTATCAAAACTGCTGCACAGAGCAACAGCAGAAATATGAAGGAGATGCTGGCTCCCTCCTCGTGTGCTCTGAGTCGCTCCTGGCTGTTCATTCCCTGTTGAAATTTGAGGGTTGGGAGGAGTTATTAAATTATAGACACTCCATTACTTAAATATCCAGGAAGGAAGGGAAAGAGGGAGGAAGAGAGGGAGGGAAAGAGGAAGGGAAAGAGGGAGGAGGAGAGGGAGGGAAAGAGGAAGGAAAAAAGGGAGGAAGAGAGGGAGGCAAAGAGGAAGGAAGGGAGGGAGGGAGGAAAAGAACAAGGAAGAGAGGGAGGAAAAGAACAAGGAAGAGGGAGGAAAAGAGGAAGGGAGGAAGGGAGGAAGGGAGGAAGGGAGGAAGGGAGGAAGGGAGGAAGGGAGGAAGGGAGGAAGGGAGGAAGGGAGGAAGGAAGGAAGGAAGGAAGGATCATGCTGAATTTGTAGCCTAAAATGAAAATCCCTGGACTACAGCAGGAGCACACTCTGAGATGAGGAGTTTAAGGATAAATAACACATTTTCCTCCTGGGCACAGCCTGGGAGGAAACTGCTCAGCCCAAAGGCCACAGTGGCAGGGGGTGGCAGTCCCTGCTGCCAGCTCCTGTCCTGCAGTGCCAGCGAGGCATTCTGTGCAGGGCTGGCTTCAGTGGATTCAGGGCAAGGAAATGTGGCTCTGTGTCCTGAAAAGCTCTGATTCCAAGAGGCATCTTGGAATATGCTGTGTTGTACACAAAGCTGGAGCCGGGGCCAGGGGGATTTGGAGCTGTGTGCATTCAGGCAGGAAGAGTTCCAGAGGCAGGACTACCACCAAAAGCTCTTTCCTGCTGGTGAGGCTTCTGAAATACATTTTATTGACCTGGAATCTTTGCATATCCTCAAGGTTAAGAGTCAGAGCCTGACTTGGCAGGGCTGGAAGCTCTAAAAAGCCATTTCTGCTCCAGCAGCATCAGATGGCTGATGGTATCAGCTGAGCTGGGCTCAGGAGGCAGAGGATGAGCTGTGCTCAAAGCCATTGTCCAGAGAGCTCAGGGAGCTCTGACCTTCCACAGCTGCCTTTGACATGAGCCACAGCCTCAATAAAATGAATGAAGTGAGAGCCTGGCCTGGCTGAGATACCAGGGACCCAGGGAAGGGCTGGAGCTGTGCCAGGGCAGGTTTAGGTTGGATTTTGGGGGAGGTTCTTCCCCCAGAGGGTGCTGGGCACTGCCCAGGCTCCCCAGGGAATGGGCACAGCCCCGAGGCTGCCAGAGCTCCAGGAGAGTTTGGACAGCGCTGCCAGGG